AGGGACCCCGAGACCCGCCCCAGGACTCCTTCCCCAGGTCCCTCTGCCCTGGCCTCCCGCCCCAGAGCACGGCTGGCAGGGGGCACGGCCCCCATCCTTTGGGTGGACGCTGCCCGGCGCCCTCTGGGAAAGTCTGTTTCTCAGGGTCCATCTGTCGGGAACTAGAACTGAAAGTTGCGCGATTTAGAGACAGCCTCAGAGGAAGATGAGGCAATGCCCAAGAGTGACACTCATCACGGGGGAAGCTCCCACCTAGACACTGTTGGGCTGGGACGGCGTTGGAGATCAACTGTGCAGCACCCGTGCCCGCTCCTGGGGTGCAAGAGACGCCCAAATCGCACGCCATGAAGGACCTGAGCCCATCTCCTGCCTCCTTGCCATGCCCTTCCCCTCGGGGTTCATTCTCTGCAACGTTAAACAGATTCCTTCTGGCCAGACCCCTTGTCACAGGCTACAGATGTCTGTGGAGGTCAGTCTAGCCGGGGGCGGGACGCAGGGACGTGGGAGACGGGGGAGATGCAGGGGTGCTGAGAAAGCCAGTTATCTTCCCCCCACCCAGCCTCCACACGGTGGGCCTCCCCTCTCCATTCCCAAGGTCACACGCCCGCCCTGGACGCTGCCCGGAGAGTCACTGTTCAGTGGGGACACAGCAGGTGTCCTGGCGCCTGGAGCTCCTGTGACCGAAGCTGCAGAGGAGGACACACAGGCAGGGTGGGGTCCCCCAATGGAGGTTGAGTCCCAGGAGGACTGGGCGGAGGGATACTGGACTGGGCAGTGGAGGTGAGGGCTCTGTGTGTGAACGCACGCTGAGGACATCGAGGGGACCCCAGCTGGCGGGACACCTGGAAAGCTGGAGCTGTGGTTCTCTGCGCCATGGGGTTTGGTATGGAAGAATATGCAGAAAAGAAAGCACATATTTTGAAAGAAATAAACACTTCCCCCTTCCTCAGGGCTCCAGGAAGGATTTCTTCATCACCGATGTCTCACGGGGGCCACGCTTCTCACCGCCCCAGAACACGGCGGGGATTTCCAGCCTCTGGGGCTTTGCCTGTGGAGGTTCTGTTCCCAGGAGCCCAGGCGTGCAGGAGACACGGAGCAAGGAACCCCAGCCTGGCGGGGGTCCGCCCTTGGGGATGGCGAGGATTTCGTGAGAGAAGAGACACACACCTGATTTCACAGGTTATTTATTTTATTTTTTTATTTTATTTTTTAGGCGAGGCAACCCTTGGTTGACCTCACAGACTGCAAGGACCTTGTCAGCTTACAATCCCTTATTTTTTATTTCTTACGCCTACAGCACCTGGTCACCCTAGGTGGTCTCCCATCCAAGTACTGACCAGGCCCGACACCGCTTAGCTTCCGAGACCAGATGGGGTGGGGCACGTTCAGGATGGTGTGGCCGTAGACCACAGGTTATTTTAAACGGAGCAGCTAGGGGTGGTGGGAAAGGAAGTGGTAGGAGGCATGAGAGGCAGTGCCTCCTTGGACCCATGTTGGTTTTCTGGAAACATTTTTTGGGGAACTGTAAGATACGTGCAGAGAAGTACCGCCACAAAAACAACCCAGTGATTCATCACAAAATGAACACTCTCTAAGAAACAGAGTGTTGCAGGCACCCAAGGGCCTCCCCGCTGTTTCTCCATCCTTATCACGAGACCCAACCCGCCCCGCCCCAAAGGAGCCAGTGCTTTCACCTTAAAGCTGATTGTTTCCTAAAGAATAAAATAAAGTTAATGGTTTCCTTGCTTTCTTCATAGTTTTGTTATCCCGGCATGCTGCCTTTGATACTGGGGCTTTGCACTATGTTTTTCTTAGGACTTTGTTTTCTTCCATCCAAGTTCATGAGTCTGCCCACCCCATAATCTCCCCTTCCCAGAACCACCACCCACGACTGGAGCGGAGTCGGCGCTCGGATCACTGAGACGCGAAGGCGCAGGGTCTGAGCATGCGCGTGTCCTTCCATGCCATCGCCGACCCCTGCATTTCAGTCTGTATCTCGTCCTGCAGCCCCAGCTCCCTCCTGGGTCCCCTGTCCTGGACGACTCGCTCTCTCTCTCTGCAGGGGGAGTTGCAACATCTCTGTGGTCAGAAGGGCTGAGCCATGTCCATTCTGTTTCCCATCATGCCCAATGTGCAAAGAAACGTAGTGAGAAGTAAGACGTGAGAAGTAGAGAGACAGGGAAACCACAGATCATCTAACTGCCTGTGGAAGAGGAACTTAGAACCCACAGACCATCAGAGCTGGCCCACTTCAGTTTTCAGAAGACACGGAGGTTCAGAGCGGACAAACGAATTGCCCAAACCTGTCTCACACATCATTGTTTGCACAGGGAGCCGCTTCATCCAGCTTCGTCTGTCCAGCTTTCATCGGGCTGGGAGATAGGAAGCTTATGCCGATCTGCGAGGGTTTCTCAGCTCTTCCCATGAGGTAAAGAGGGAAATTTCACTCACTCACTCACTCACTCATTCATTCATTCAGGAGCCATCTACACTGTGCCTTCATGTTTCCAGTGACGGGTGACTGTGAGAGGTCTCGCCTTTGCTTTTGAGGATGGCAGTATGTGGTTGGGAGACAGACAGCTTATCTGACAATTCCAGTGCCGTAGGGTAGGTGGCTGTGAGCGGGGAGGCACAAGCTGGGGATGGGCGAGGCTCTCGCTTTTCTGGCCTGGGAAGTGAGTTCTCGAGGGGCAACGGGCCAAGGAGACACGTAGGGACTCTCAGGCAGCCGCGAGGGGTGAGAATGCCACAGGTGAGTCTGGGAATCGCTGGGCTCAGGTACTGTCTTCTCAAGCTCACTCGCTCTCCCGCTCTGCCAGAGAGCCTCCCCCAGCCACCAGGTTCTGTGCTCTGTGACCCCACCTCTGCCTCAGCGGAAGTCAGGCCACCGCC